TTTAAGAAATAAAATTTATATATAACAAGAGATTCATTTCTAACATTACTCAATCAATAGTTAAAAATCAATTGATATAATGTGATAAAAAATCATTTAACAATTAACAAATAGTATTTTATAATTAAAAACATTAAAAAAGAAACAGTATATGAATTTACAATTTACATTATATATGTAACTCACAATGTTTACAATTTATGACTATACAAAATTAACAATTAAAAATGGAATTTCATCTATATAATCACAAACTTGAACATATTTCTACAAAAAACATGAATAATATTATAACATTACAGAGGAAACTAATATCCTTATTGTATATATTTAACTATTTACATTATACATAATTTTTCTAAGCAAATAATTAAAAACAATAAGATAAAATTCTGTGATAAGAATACAAAAACACAATAATTAATAACTTAATTTTGTTTAAATAAAAATGATCAATGTAACCTTATAAATAAATTTTTTTTGACTACAACAAGTAATGAAACATTATGTAATTATGATATATATCAACGTTATTTGATTACTCAAATATACAATTAAATAACACCAATTTTACATTAATAATTAAAAATATATTACAGTAAAACCTGCTTACGATTTAATTTCCCATAAAACAGAAACCTGCCATAATGGAAAGTATATCTTGGAAAGAAATGATTTTCTATGTAAAATGCAAACATAAGCCGGATTACCTGTCTAACATGGAAACAAAAGATTGTATGATGTAACCTAAGTGGAATGTTTTGGCATAACAACATTTAAATTTTAAATTGTAATTAATGCCTTAACTTGCTGGCTTGAATCATGGTGGACTTCTTAGTAACAAGAGTTACATTCCATCGTTTTTACTTCTTTAAAATAGTAATTTCATTGTATGGAAAGTAGCTGCAACAACAGAACACTAATGCTCTGTTGAGTTCTGTTTTAAACAGGTTTTACTGTACATAGATTTAATATTAAAGTTGACTAAAAGCAGAATAAAATCATTCTGACTTCACTTCCAAGACAATCACGCAACATTTTCTTTCGTGAATCTTACTAATAAACTTTTCTCATATTCTAATTTACTATAAACCAACAAATTTACACACTTACATTGAAACAATTTTCCATATAGGAATATAATTGCACTACTTTATATTAATAATTTATTTATTTAATTTTTCTTTTTTTTTAATTAGGGTGTTTGAAAAAAGGAACATGGTTTTAAGTATAGTTTTCATTTTCCTAATCTAAATCTTAATCAAGATTTGAATTCTACACAAATTTATTTTTAAATATAACAATTAGCTAGATATTTTTAAAATTTTTTGATAAAATATTTTAATATAAAATTCTATTCCGCAATATATTAATAATTTATAAATAAATTCTATTCTCTCTCTAGCATTATTTTAATTTATGAAAATTCGAAAAAAATTATTAGGTAAATTTTTATTATATTTGTTTATCAATCTATTAGTAAATGTGTCTCCTTTACTTTTACAGTAGCATATGGAATAAAAAAATAAATTATAAAGACATATTTATGAAACAAAAACTGTACGATATAATTATAATAATAAAATTAAATGTAAAAATCATTCAAAATAAATTTAAATATCAAATAAAATAATTGTTATAGAATAAATTTGGAATGGATATCAAATGAATCAGTGCATAAATATTAAAAATATGGCCTCTTCTAACAGTAATATCAATTTAAAAAATAAATAAAGAATATAAAATTAACTTCATTGGAAAATTATAAATAAAATTACAGAATATTTTCATATAATAAAGTATCAAATAAAAACATTGTTATAAATATACAGTATGGTTTTTTTCTTTCTAATGTAGCATTCACTAATATAGGTACTATATTTTGTTAAAATATTTAGGAAATATACAGTAATGAGAATGCTGCTGCAAATTAGTCTTTCCAGATGATGATAAATTACAAAAATTCAGAACTGGCAGATATTTTGCCAGTATATTCTACAGTGCATTAAAAATAATTACAGAAAATACATTTTTATATTCATGTGTAATAGTATTTGACTGACAAAATAACAGGAATATTTCTGGAAACAATCATTAATATCATTCTTATGCCAAAGATACTTATGTTATTTACTAAAATACAGTAGAGCGTCGTTTATCCGAATCAATTGGGGACTGGGGTGGTTCGGATAATTTATTTTTCTGATAACGAATCATGTACGAAAAAATATATTAATTTATCCCATGTTGAAATTTTTCTCCGTTGCGTGTCGCTTCGCGTTGAATTTTCGTCGATGTTAAGCCTAACGAAGACTATTGTATCGTTAAAAATTATTTTTTTATTTTATACAAACAAAATAAATATATTGAAAAATATAAAAACAATAAAAAATTATACTTCAGATGTTAATTTAGTATCAAAAACGTAAAATATTTGAGTAACCCAAGAAATAGCCGAAGATTGCAGCGCCACAGCACTAGCGAAAATTTAAATTTGCCGACTGGAATGCTTTCGGATAACAGACGTTTCGAATAACCAGCTTTTGGATAAACGACGCTCTACTGTATTATGAATTATAATAATGTAATATTCATTATGGAAATATTATTATTCCATTCAGTAAGCTGATAAAATATGAAGAGCAAGCATTAAAGTATATTGCACTCAATATAAAATTATATTTATGAAACTTTAAAATTACTTAATTTCTAGAAGAGTCAGCGATAATCTAAATTCCAATATCTTCCAAATGACAGACAATTTGCTATATGTATTATTATCATCATTGTCGTCTGTAAAATTGTAGTTTTTCATATTGATGATAACTTATCACACTTATACATTCATTTTTTTTTTTTTGCTTTTTCTAATCACACATTCATAAATTACAGTATTTCTTTTTAATCAAGATTATTTTCTACTACATCCATCTATAGTTTATAACTAAAACCTTCCTTATCAATATCCTTAAATTATCCTTTTGTGTTTATCGCAGACACGTTACTTTTTATTTATTTAATTTGTTTGTATTACAAATCCATTTGTTTATAGATTTCTATTAATAAATTAATATAATAAATTATTTTAATTTTTGTATACAATAAATTTGAGAAACGATAAAAAAAACAAATATAAGAAAAATATTCATATAAACATGCATCCTTCAAATATAATTGCATAACTATAAACCGTATAAATATGGAGACAAAATATATTAGAAAACACAGAGTTTAATTGTTGTATGATGTTGCAGATTACTTCTTGATGATTGACATATATATTTCAATCTTTGTTCAACACTGGGATTTATCCAAATTCTTTCCAAATCAATATCTAGGTGTAGAAATGAATCCAGAAGCATTTCTGTTCACACCAACTCCTTTTTTTTTTATGTCAATGGCTGTAAACTGGTGTAGCTATACACCTGTTATCTCCTAGATATCATTTCTAATATAAAAATACTATACTTTCATATTTGTAAGAAATATGAGCATCTATAATGTATAATTATATGAGCATCTGTAATCTATAATTATACTTCATAATAATTTCACAGATGTAAATATAGCCAATGCTAAGAATAATTGTAAAATATACAAATTATATGTGATTGTATCCTTATCTGATTAATTATAATGTAATTTCTTATTTGAAATTTTACCAATCATAATAACAACTACATCTATGCTAACTTCTGTTGTTTTTACTGTTATTTCTATTCTTATCAACTGTTTTCTCCTTTAATAAATCATTATTATGAAGTATACAGTTTTAGTTATACTTTAGACATTAATAATTTCCTTTTATTCAGTTACAGGAGTCATGTTAATATAAAATTTTTATTTATTTAGTCTTTTCTAACATTTCTCAAACTTATTATATATATTAATGATCACTTTGTGTGCATTCTCTATTAATTTATCAGTCAAGTTCCACTGCACATTGTAAAGTTATCTCAACAAGTTTTCCTTACGTGAAAAAATTTCAAACAATAAAATGTTTATTCCATATTAATAAATAAAGCATATTTTTGATATTAAAAGTTACTTTAAAAACCAGATTTCATTTAATTTAAAATTTTATCTTACAGTCACTTGATATTTGTTATAACTATCCTTAAAATTTTGATAATGTTAAACAGTATCGCTCAATTGAATGATTGTAACTAATCTCAATTTCTGCACTTAAAAACTTGTTGAGATAATATGTAAAAATATATTTTTCTCAAACACTTTTTTGTAATTTCTACCAATATAAAATATTTTTCAAAGTTAAACAAATGTTTCTGAATTTTAAAATTAATATTTATACAATAAAATTCTTGTTTTTAATGATATTAACTTTCAAATAATCCTTTAAGTTTGTATATAATTTCTCGTTAATTATTAATAATATATATATTAAATAATAGTAATTAAAAGCAAATGCAAACGGGCTTTATAACATTTAAAATCTCTAATATTAATAATAAATTATTAAAATTTAGTTTTAAACAGTGCTTTTAAAAAGAGGTAATTCTGATATTCTACTTTAGATATTGCACTAGATATAGAAATTATTTTGTACTATTAAAATATATCTAAAACCATTATGTTATGACTGGCATTTAAACCATGTCACAAAAAGGCAGTGTTTTCAATGATCTATTTGAAATTCTTTGCTGTCCCCAAATATTAAGGCCCTAAGTGCTTCAAAAAGATTAATCAAGAATTATATTATTCATCTATGTTTAGGTGCAAAAATATGTATTAGACTTTCAATGATTTTATAAAGACTTTGAAAATAAAAAAAAATAAAATTAACAGGAATAAAATAATTAAATAATAATTATTATTAATAACTAAATCTAAAAATTTATGTCTAGTGATAAATTAATAATAATAGAGTATAACTTAGTGGTTTTATAAATAATCTCTTTATCCTATAAGATTTTTTATATAAAATCATAAATTATTTAAAATTTGTAAACAAAACTAAAAAATACTATTAATTTCTGAAAATAAATTTTATAATTATAAACAAAATATGATAAATTAAAATTTCAAACATTTTCACAGAACATTCACTGCACATATAAATATTTTCTTGAGCAGAATTTTTTGCCAAAATCACTTTAATCGTTGTGTGATATTAGCAAGGGCAATGGCAAAGGCCTGGAGGGCACAAAATGGCTGCTGGAAGTCCAGAGTATATGCATTCATATTAATCCTTCCAAATTGTAACACCTGAAATTAAAAGTTTTTGGTAGATTAAAAAATTAATTTTCAGTTGAACAAAATTATTTGTAAATTTAGATTAAAAACAAACAAATGCACAAATTCTATTATTAAAAGCATATAGGGTGATCCAGATAAAACACAAATTCTTTGTTAATTTAATTTATAATTTAGTCTTATTAAATTTTTTATATTAAAGTATAAGTTATATAAGAATTTTTTCATACATAAACAAATTTATCAATAATCAGAGTTGTTACACTGTTGTAGAAGCAGGACAACTTACAGATTGTAAAATAATTGTTTGATTTACAATAATTGTTATCAACAAATAAATTTACTTGAGTTGCAATTAATATAATAGATATTAAAGCACAAAATTCGAATTTTACAATATTTATCTTGGTATTTTTGAGGACATTAATAAGGTAGTTATATATTTTAGATTTAGTAAGATTAAATTTTGTCAGAAATATATACATTAGACTCAAAGATCAAAAATTCTCAATGAGAAAAAAACTACCAGAATGTATTGTAACTTTATAGAAACAGCCACAATAAGATAATTTGCACCTGGCTACTTATAAAGAGCGTGAGCATTCTGGTACTTAAAAAGTTGTTGTAACAGTTAAAAATAAGACTACAATGCATCATGGTCATTTTCTATTTAGTCTGTAGTAGCAAATAAGGAGTTTAGGATACATGACTAAATATGTATAATAATTAAGAACAACAGCAATGTTCATTTATTTTTGGAGGAATTGTTACAATGACATTTAGAATTACAGTTAATATCTTTTAAACATTTGCAATTTTTATTGATGCAGTATCTCTCACAATTATAGTTTACAAAGCTCTGCTTACTTTCAGATGATATATTTAAGCTGACTGATGAAATAACCAACAACCTTAAGGTACAGTACATCATTTATTTCTATGAAGTTATTGTCAGCAGTTGTAAATTCATTGTTTGCATTATGGTCATATTTTTAATTGTCACAACACAAATTTTGCATCATAGCATTTTTTTTACATGCCAGAATGCATCACAGTTCTTTATGAGCAGTTAAGGACATGAAATTTCTGATCATTTTTTCACAAATTGAACTTATTTTTATCTTTGATCTTAACATATATAAGAATTTTTATACACATATATACATACATACTTCAATATTCAAAAAAAAATAATAAATGAAAGTTTATAAAGTAAATTTATATAAAACTCAATAAAAAGAATATTTTTAGATATTTTAAAGATATGAACTTGAACAGTTATTAATATTTAACAATGGAAAAGTATTGACTAATACAATAGCTTTATTGTGTTGATAGAACATTTTAAATATATTACTAAAATTAAAAGTTTATTTTACATCTATAATAAAATTTATATTTTCAAGATTATAAAAAAGTTTCTGTAAAATAAGAATATTTAATACCTGCTTTCCATGATCTTCTACCTGAAAATTTTTGGCAGATTCTTGTGTAACTCTGCCACCAAAATCCAATTGATAAACTTGATGAGTTTCATTCCACAATGGCATTTTATTTTCCAAAATATGTTCACATAGTGGTGGATTCTGTTCATTTTCCACCGATACAATTTTATTTAAATTTCTTTTTTTACGCTAAAACAAATATTAAATAACGTTATATGCATATAAAATTAACATTTTAAATTAATGCAACTTACCTTTTTCTTAAAATTTGCATGAGATTTTTCCAAATTCTTTCCATTTTTATTAAGTACTTCATCTCCACTAAATGCACTTTCTTCATCAGAACTGTCAACTAATCGTTGCCATTTTAATTTCCTTAATAACAAAGGACTATACAGAAGATTTTTTAAAGAACGATCCTTTTTTCTTTTAGTAATTGGTGAAGATGGTATGCTTCTGCAAATTCTTGGTGAAGAAGGTTCAGAACTATCATCTAAATCTTCAGAAATATGAGAATTGTTTATTTTGTTTTCTTGTATAAAAGTTTTTGAAGTATCTTTATTTTGCCAGTTCTCAATATTTAATTGAAAATGTTGAGATTCTTTGTTATTAATTTTTGAAGCATTATTTAAAATTTGTCCCTTAAAATGTTTAGTTTCTTCAATATCATGATATTTATTCTCTTCTTTTTTAGAACAAAACTTTGCATTTTCTAAGGACAAAATATTTTTTTCCAAATTTAGAGAGGAATGTATTTTAGAATGTTTTGATTTTGCATTCAACACTTGATTAAACTCTGAAATTTCTATTTTTAATTGATCATTTTGTTTTCTTGGATTCATTTCACAATATCTGCTCTCATCTTTTTGAGTTTTAGACGTTTCTTGATTAGTATTTAAATTTGAGCTCTTTGAATACAATTTTGATTTTAAATGTGTCCATTTTTTATTTTCCTTACATGATGATCCATTATTTGTACTTTCTGTTGTATACAAATGGCTAATACTGTTGCTTTTATGACCAATTTTCACAACTGGATTACTATATGAACAATCTTTTATGCATCTTTTACAAATATCACCATTACACTTTCTTAGAAAGCCACAATGTTTTGTTTTATCCATCCAAAATAATGAATTCAAGTAAATTTGGCTTAATGACATATTTTGATGCACAGAATGAGAAGCATTTTCTTCAAATTGGTGATTAATTACACAATTAGGTTCCCATTTTGATAAATTATTTTGATTACCAACTGCTAAATCCATTGCAACAAGATGTTTTATAATATCGTTTTGATGAGTAATTAAGCTTGGATGTTGAATGCATTTATCACATATAAAATTATTTAATTTTTTAGATTTTAATAGATCCAAAATGTTATCATCTTTACTATATAATTTTGTTTTATTAGTTAATTTTTTTTGATTAATTTTACATGTCTCTATAGTGATAATGCTGTTTCCAAATGATCCATTATCTTTATTAATTAATTTTTCTGATTTACAAGACAAATACTGCTTTTGTTGTTCTTTATTAATATTAAATGAAATATCTTTTTCAACTGTGCCTTCTTTATTATCATTCTTTTCCGTTTTACTTTCTGTGCATGGAATTTTAGGAACTTTTGAATTTATATCTTTGAAATTATTTTTCATATTATTATGATTATTATTGCTTTTATCCATAGCAGTTTTTTGTCCAAAAGAAGACTCAGGAACTAAAACAAATTCATCTGATGATAAAAACTTAATGTAATCAGAATCCGGATATTCTTCATTTTGAAAAGATTCTGCATTAGAACTATATGTAGAGAGTAAATCTTTCTTTTGTTTCTGAGGGGTCATTGGAGCAACTGGAGCACCTTCATTAAATGCTGGTGATATCCCTACTGGAAAATAAAAGAAAAAAATTATATTTCTTATTGATCTGTAATATATTCCAAATATCAAAACTAATAGTATAATTCATAAAAATATTAAATAAATATTAAATAAAGATATTCATTTTTCAACAATTAAATGATACTTAAAGCATGAATTAATAATAAAATATTTTTATTTTTATACACGTCCTGTTTGAACAAATTAAAATTAAATTCTAATCTTAGTTAATATTCCTTTGTAATTTAATATTTTCATATGTTTAATAGTTAAACTCTTCAAAAATTGTTTTCAGTCATCAATGAAATATATGTTTGAATTTTTTTAAATAAAATTAGCATTGTATTTTTAGATAGTTCAATATGAATAACAACAGAAATTTATAAAAAAAAAATTTAAGAGAGTATTTTCTTATCATAACTACTACTATTTGTAAACAATACTCTTTATTACAGTAATGTCTACACTTTTTTAAAAAAAAGTTTTTATTACAATGAACACATCAATTACCCTAATTATAATTTCATTGTAAATATATATATAATAAGACATTCTTCTATTTGTCAGTTGTTCTTCAACAATTAATGCATTCATTTTTTAACTTCTCAAAAACAGTTGGAATATGTATCTTTATTTCCAACTGTTTCAAGCTGCATTTTCAATGTGTACCATTTATAGAAAAATATGTTACATGAAACGGTAAAAAACAATTTCTCTTATCATGATTTGATATTTTTATTAAAACATAAAGATATTTAGCATATAAAGAAACAAGTATATTTACAACAGCAATATTTTTTTTATTTTTAATATTTCAATATCTTAATAAAAAATTTAATTTCATAAAAATGTATACAGTAAAACCTTGATTTAATGAACAAAATTTCTGGTCCACCTGTCATGTGAAAATTAACATCTTGTTAATTTCAAAATACTTTATATTTATGATTAAATTAATAGGTTCTTTTTTTTAAAGCCAAGAGTCACCACTCTTGACTTTATGCCACAACAGGAGTGTCTCAATATATCATCATCCAAAAATGAATAAATAGGAAATTTTTTTGTGTTTTTGTCAATTTAAATTGTTTTATTTTTAAGATCATTTTGTTCAATTAAAATATACTGGTATTTTCCAAAAAAGTTTGTTTATTAATTTGATTTAGATCATATACTTGTTTATTACAGTCTCAGAACTATGGTGAGTACATAAGCAATAACACAAATAGAAATTTTTCTGTAAAATTAAACTTCTCATACATACTTAATTTTAATTACGCAAATGTATCTACATAAGTAAAAACAAATAAACTAACTAATTTGCCAATATTTTTTTAACACACACTTTTGGAAAACCTGCTTTATTATATATCAAACTTTGGTTTTAATGGACACTCCCTTGTCCAAATTAGTCCATTAAATTGAGGTTTCACTATATTTGAATTACAGTATCTATATAACAAAACAATACTTACATGCTCCAACTTCATCCTCATCATCTGAAAAATCTGTTGTACAATTTTCTATTCCTTTATTTTCAGATGAATTATTTGATTTTGAAAAATTGATCTGCGGACCACACAACTCTTTTATTACAATTTTAAGTTGCCGAGGTTGTAAATGAAGAAGACTCGTTCGATATGTGACTGTACCAAGAGAAGATGGAAGCCAAGGTACTAGACCCAATAATTTAAATTTTGTACCCCAAATATTCGATGTAATACTTACTATCTTCTCATTCTGTACAAAAAAATAATAATAAAAATACATTAATTTCATGTAAAAACATCAGCTACTCACATACTCTAAAAACAAATAAATTATTTTTTACTGACCTCTGGTAATTCATCAACATAAACATATTTCTGTGAAGTTAAGATTTTACGAAGCATTCTATGCTCCCTTCCCAGTCTTTTCAAACGTTGTCTTCGACGCTGAACATGGGGTGATACACATCCTTCATCCAATTCACTTTCTGATGAAGAGGTAGAAATAAACACAGGACTAGAGTTTAAAGAATGATTATCTGTTTGATCATTACAAGAAACAGAATGAAACTGTTTATATCTTCTGTGAAGAATTTTACCTTTCTCATCTGAAAAAAATTAAAAAATTAAATTATTTTTAATGTAATGTAAATAATACAAATGGAAAATTAGCTTAGATGAAAAAATTAACAACTTATTTGAGAATCATTATGACCACAATGAATAAATTCCATATTCAAATCTAAATATACTAAAACTTCTATTATAATCTAAAATTTCTGTACAGATGTTATCAAAATTTTTTTTTCTATTTATAAAATTTTGAGTGAATAATTACTATAGTCCATTCCACACAAAAGAACTCTATTAAGAACTAAATTCTGATCAAATACAATTACAAGAATGAAATGACATCATCTTGATAAAAAAACAAATTGTTTATATTATAATTATATTATATTATGACTTTATTACAAATTTACATTCATATATTTTCCATATTTTAATAATTAAATATTTATAAAACTTTCTTGCATTGTCTACATCAATAGTGGTCAACTTTAAAATGACTGAGGTCAAACAGTTTTGTCAAATAGTGTGAGTTTCCAGACGAGGTTCAAACTCGAGTAAACTGTGAAATTCTTGTGCGACACAAGATGTAAACGAGACTCGGAACTGTTTGAGTATGTGTCAAACTATCTGTCAAGGTCTTAGGGGAAGATAAACTCTAACACGAGCACTCAAATAGGTAAATCATTGACTTGCATGTCTATAAAATGTTGGGCGAGATAAACCTTTCAAACAAAAAAAAAGAAGAATTTTTGATAGATGAAAGATGAAAATGATCGTTAAATTCTTAGATGTAAAAAAAAATGGTAAACAATGGCCTGAGTTATGAGTGCAGGTGTTATTGCTTTATAAACAGTTGCCGAGCAGAGTCGACCAAGAGGTATCAGATGGACACCTCAAATCGAACCTTTCCCACGACCCGAAAAGGTTTCATCTTGCACCTGGAGACAAAGGAGAGACCAATCAGGAAGCAAGAAATGGGACAAGGGACTGATCCGAAATGTGAATAGTGGAAGAAAAACTATAAAGATCGGAACTTCAAGGTCGAAAGGGAGTCTCCTCTGGATTAAGCCTACAGTTGTGCTTTATCTATTGTGTTGTGCTACCGCTGATCACCTAGGACGCCGCAGCTTAACACCGAACATCTGCATCATCCAGCGATCCTTCTCATCCACCCAGACTACGACCGATCACCCGAACTCTCACCGTTTCATAGAAACACCGAGATTTTGGAATTGTCCAATATCGATGTAAGCATGAATTCAAACAAATAAACGGGTTTTCTCTTGTAAAACACCTGTTCTTCATTAGCCTCCTTCACCTCTTCCCACATACGCAGTTTCCCTTAGGCTCATTCTGATGCGAGATAAACTGATTCCCCCTTAACGTTAGCAAACTTACAATAGTTCAAATTACTCAAATATTTGTAATGCATTTCATAAATATAAATTAAAATTTTAACTCAAAGATAATCCATTAAACAGGCAGAAAACATGTTTTTAACAAAAAAACATGTTAAATACATAGTAATTCAAACACAAATCATTTATTGTATTTATTCAGACACTTGGCAAACTCATCATTAAAACTGCCAAGTGTCTGAATAAATACAATAAATGATTTGTGTTTGAATTACTAAAAATTATCGGCACAGTTTCAAAAATACCATGTTAAATACATGTTTTTCCCTCACTTCTATGGTATGGTTTTTATCTTTTTTTCTGTTTTCACAGTAAATTTTTCTTGATTTCAGATACTGAATGAATTAAACTGCTGTGATATCCTGAAAAATTCACAAACTGCAATACATTAAACTGATAGAGCCACAAAAACAATGGTTTCCACATTTGAATTCCTGGAGAAAATGAAAGCCAATAACAAATGATCATATACTATAATATGTTTTGAGGTAATAAGACTAAATTAGAGCAACATTATTAATATCCACAACTATTGCATAGGGCCTATGAAAGCCTTAAATTACAAAATATTTCACTTTCTGAAACCACCAGATAATATCAATCCAAATTATATATATATATATATATATATATTTTTTTTTTTTTCTGAAATAAATCTACATTTCTTCATAAGAGACTTGCAACATACTCTGTCCCAAATGATAAGTATCAATCTTTATACAGGCTCTGTACAGGTAATTCCATCTATGAATTCCTGACATTCCCTGACCAATTATGACATTATTTCCTGACTTATTAAGGTCTCTGCATTTCTGCTTTCTATTATGTAATATTTGGCCAATTCTATTTAAGCCCATNATGTTATGATAAACCACACACAAGTATTATCTTATATTAATAGTATGTTTATTTTATATAGTATTAATTTGATTAAAATTCTTATTAAAATGAAATGTTTTTAGTATTTTAGAAAATTAATTTCAAAATGCATAATTTGTAAAAAAAATGTTTGTGATTCAAATTACATTTAATGGTGATAAATGTTATTTATATATTAAAAGTTTTAAACAGTGGTTAATATTAAAACATAAATGTTTTCAAGGAACCAGTTACTGCTATAACCTGGGGTCATCTGGACAAACGAATTTTTATTGCTACAGGTTGCTATGTTAATGTAGCCTGGATATCTTATAAACTTGCTTCTTTACAACTTCTTTCTGCCATGACCGTCCAGAAGTGCCTGATGAATGAGCATTCTGTAGAATTACTTCCTGTTGTTCAGTGTTTACAATCACTTGTTTCTAGTTTGTTTGGACGAACTATTAAGGTATAAATTGATTCAATTTACAATATATTAAATTATTATAGTAAAAATACTACAATTAGTGTTTAATGTTAAAACAAAATTGTTTATTAAAACATTAATTTATATATTTTACATTTTATTAACATTTGACATGCTTTTATATTTGAGTATAAGAGCATATTCTTATAAATAGAACAAAATTGACATATATTCTTCAAAGTCCCTAAATAAACTTTTATAGTAACAGAAGCATTTTTTAATTTGTCTTTTTACTATTAATAATGGTTACCACAGAGATGTCACTGTATAGATATGTTTACATTTAATTTACGTTGAAACAATAGTGCAGTGCTCATATAAGCCAAAACAAGCTGGTACACATAAGAGAAAGATGCTCTTGTATGCAAAGTATGCTTTTATAAGTGAAGCAGGACATGTTTCAGAAATGAAAACAAGTAATTTTCACATGTAAGAGCATGTTCTTACTTGTGCAGATATACAGTAAATATTTTTATAAGATTTTTAGATTATAAATCTTCAACTGCTTTTTTGAACAATCTATAAACTGTAGATTCCTTGAGACAAAAAAAATTATTTGAAATATTGCATCTACATTTTTTATTCTATCTTTTTACTAGCTAGCATCTACAACCAGTTCTTATGAATTAAATATTGGTGTGAGAGATGTAGAATAACAGCATTGAATGCATATTAATTAAACATTACTGAAAAATCAGATTTTTAATAAATTCTGTTGTCACTTACACACAGTGGTAAGTGACAACAGTAAAACTTTGAAAATGTTAACAACAGGTTCGGCCGAACCTGTTGTTAACATTTTCAAAGTTTTACTGTTGTCACTTACCACTGTGTGTAAGTGACAACAGAATTTATTAAAAATCTGATTTTTCAGTAATGTTTAATTAATATGCATTCAATGCTGTTATTCTACATCTCTCACACCAATATTTAATTCATAAGAACTGGTTGTAGATGCTAGCTAGTAAAAAGATAGAATAAAAAATGTAGATGCAATATTTCAAATAATTTTTTTTGTCTCAAGGAATCTACAGTTTATAGATTGTTCAAAAAAGCAGTTGAAGATTTATAATCTAAAAATCTTATAAAAATATTTACTGTATATCTGCACAAGTAAGAACATGCTCTTACATGTGAAAATTACTTGTTTTCATTTCTGAAACATGTCCTGCTTCACTTATAAAAGCATACTTTGCATACAAGAGCATCTTTCTCTTATGTGTACCAGCTTGTTTTGGCTTATATGAGCACTGCACTATTGTTTCAACGTAAATTAAATGTAAACATATCTATACAGTGACATCTCTGTGGTAACCATTATTAATAGTAAAAAGACAAATTAAAAAATGCTTCTGTTACTATAAAAGTTTATTTAGGGACTTTGAAGAATATATGTCAATTTTGTTCTATTTATAAGAATATGCTCTTATACTCAAATATAAAAGCATGTCAAATGTTAATAAAATGTAAAATATATAAATTAATGTTTTAATAAACAATTTTGTTTTAACATTAAACACTAATTGTAGTATTTTTACTATAATAATTTAATATATTGTAAATTGAATCAATTTATACCTTAATAGTTCGTCCAAACAAACTAGAAACAAGTGATTGTAAACACTGAACAACAGGAAGTAATTCTACAGAATGCTCATTCATCAGGCACTTCTGGACGGTCATGGCAGAAAGAAGTTGTAAAGAAGCAAGTTTATAAGATATCCAGGCTACATTAACATAGCAACCTGTAGCAATAAAAATTCGTTTGTCCAGATGACCCCAGGTTATAGCAGTAACTGGTTCCTTGAAAACATTTATGTTTTAATATTAACCACTGTTTAAAACTTTTAATATATAAATAACATTTATCACCATTAAATGTAATTTGAATCACAAACATTTTTTTTACAAATTATGCATTTTGAAATTAATTTTCTAAAATACTAAAAACATTTCATTTTAATAAGAATTTTAATCAAATTAATACTATATAAAATAAACATACTATTAATATAAGATAATACTTGTGTGTGGTTTATCATAACATAATCTATCTCAAAAAGATTAGTACAAAGAAGCTACAAAAAATTTAGTGTATTAAGTCAAAAAATAAAATTTTAGTAAATTTATAGAAGTAAAAATCTACAAATATTTATTTTTCATTTATTATAAAAAATAACTGTAAAATTTTTTATCATTATCACTAATGTATCATTAAAATATACTTAATATTTACACAAAATAACAATTTTCATTATTTTTTCAATTAATAATTAGATTAAGACTAATCTCAAGTGTTTAAATTACCTTTATTTTAATTTAATAAAAAACATTTTATCATCACTATTAAAATTTCATAAACTCTATCTCTAGTACTTTCAAACTTTTCTCAGTTCATTTTCAGAGGAGTAAAAGATACTTTAAAGGCTCAGCTTCTCAAAGTTCAATCAAATCTTCAATCCTCAAAATGATTTGAAGCTGATGACTGGTTTTGAATGAATTTTGAGTTTGAAAAGTTAATTTTTAAAGTATTTTTCCTTCATTCCTGATGATAAGCTAAAAAAAAGCTTAAAAGTGCTAATGACAGAATTTGTGAAATATTAATTGCAATATGAAATCCCTAATAAAGCAAAATAAGGGAAAATTTAATAATTAGCATTAAAATAGCTTTTTGTTCTCATTACAGAATTTTAATAAAAATAATATGATTATAATACCATGTTTTAATATGATCACTTATCAATTATCTTTTGCATTTTACTCTTTGCTAATGCTTTTATTATTAATATTTATTCTATTCATATCTAATTTTAATAACTGATTTAAAATAAATAAATAAATTATTATATATATCTTTTAAACTTCATTTTATTTGCAGCTATTTGGAAAATTTAGATTATTTCAACATAAATTAATAATTAAATATGTTGATCTATAACTGTATTAAAAGCAAAATTTTAAAAGTATTTCCAAAATATTTAATAGAGAGGTTGCAGCCAAAGTTTTCATCTTTCAAACGTGAACGCCGAATGTCAAGCGCCGCAATCTTGTAAATGGTGCTTGACATTCGACATTCACGTTTCAGAGATGAAAACTTCGGCCGCAACCTCTCTAATATCAACAAAACTGCATGCTAACTCATTTCCTTTCTGTTTCTGAGATAATGAGTTTCTTTCATCTCATTATTTATAGTCAATTACTCATATATCATTATTTATAATTAACTAACTAGATGTTATGCTATTATTTTCGTCAAGTTTCTCTGCATATAGTTAAATATCAAGTAATAATCTATAAGAAAAAGTTATTCGTCTAAGATACTGTAAAGTAATTAGCATAGTAATTACTTTATTTAATTAAAATAACAAATAACAACATTATGTATTAATTAAGAACTGGAAATGCTTAATTAATAAATAATGTTATTTATAAATACACTATAAAAAATTTATAGTGCAGGAAATATGGTTTCAGTTTTCACTTTTTTCTGCTATCATTTATTTTAATAAAATGCAAGCATTAAATCATTATATTTTTACATATAATGAATGATTAATCAAATATTATTAAAATTATTTCATCTCATTTCTTAAATTTTGTTTGATTTGTATAAAAATACTTTTAATTTTATTATTAAAATTTAATATTTTTTCTTGTATAATTGTTTTATTCTATATCAGAAACAACAGATATTATTCCACAAACTTTGAACTAGTTGAGAATTAATGTATAAGCAATATTTTCTAAGATATAATTTCAAAATACATCACAGTTTTTTAAATACAGACGTTTGCAAAAGCATTGGAAAATTATAATAAATAATGAGAAACTAAAAACTGCAAGAGAAATTTGAATTCTACTTCAATATTAATTGAATAAAATAATTATACTGTTTAAACTAATGAAATATAATAATAATAACAAAAGCATTACAGAATTATTTTAAAGTTTATACCAGTTTATAGTCTAGTTTAATTAAAATTTAATTTACACAAAATATTAAATTGGATAATAATTTAGCTATCAAATCAGAAATTCAAATCAATTGATTCTAAATAATAATATTTTCTATTGTATAAATGCATAATAAATCATCTCAAATTGTTTATGTAGTGCACTGTAGTTTAATCTGAATTAACTATTGCATGGAGTTAATTTAAACTTTTCATTAATTCAAACAACAAGTATATATAAAGAAAAGTAGTAAAAAAATTCTACAGACAATTACTTATTAGTTTTAAAAATTTATCTATTTTAAATAATATATAATTTAGACTTGTTTTTTGACTGAAACATTTAACAGAAAATCTTTTTCCATGACATTGTAACAACAGGATTGGTTGAGAAGATATCCTGTTTCAGAATTTCATTGAATGCAAATGTTAAAACTACTTAAAATGCTTGTTTCGTGGATCAGTTTTTTTTTTGGGGGCATTAACTTTGTCAGCATTGTCTATTGTAAAACAATGTTCTGCATAATTTCTGAATCTATTAAAATTCAAATTCCTTCTCATCTTTCCCATTTATCTAATGAATAGTTTTCATTCTTTTCAATCTATTGTTTTCATTAAAAATTAAAAGTCATATAAAATGTAACAAATTTAATATGATATTTTTCAAGAAATTGCTACTNTTTCTATGGCATATAAAAAATTTCATAATTTAATTTTTAATTCATTTGTAAATTTTATTTAAATAAGAAAAAGACTTGTGTTGCATTGTAAAATCTAATTTTCTTAAAGCGAGGAGGTGGTACATTCAAAATAATTTAAACAGAAGAAATCACTTATCGCATGATATTTTTGGTACAGCATGGACCAATTCAAGGTCATTACATTTCTTCCCATTCCTCCCCAAAACTTATAATGGGAATGGCAGAGTTTAGGCAAAAAAATGGGTAGTTGTTGATGGTGTTTTTGAAAACCCAATTTTCACTCTATGGTGATATTTTGGTATACTTCCAAAGGCCATCTGAAAATGGAAATTTTCAGTTAAAGAGAAGACATATCACAAATAATAATCCTGCCAATTTTGACAGATTAATCATCTTCGAATACTGTATGTGGCCAGCAGCGAAGAATACAACAAATAAAAATACTTAAAATTGCATAAGATCTGCCATGCAGTCCAAAAATGTCCCGTACACAATATTGTTAAAGCCAACTGATGATTCTTTGCCTCCCCACAACATCAACTAACTGCAAAGGGTTAACAGATGTGCAGGTAAAAAAAAGTTGGGAGGGTTTTGTACAGGACACAATTGCAGTTGTTTAAAGGTGTGAATCTGTCTTTGTGTTATTAGAGGAAGGATAAGATGTAAACAAATAGTCTTGGTGGTTATCACATTCTAAGTCAATATCTATTGGTTTGGGTCGCAGCACACTCAAAATATTAGCATCAGAGTTGATACTCTCAGTTTTCTTACACTCTCTATACAATCTGCATCATTCAGATTAGTCATCTTGAGTTTTTCTGATTCCTTTTTAATTTTTCTTTCCAATGATATATGTTTCTTATATTTCTATTCATATCTCCTTTTCAATTTCTTTGACATTATGAAAATTTTTTGACTTGCACACTTATCAGCTTATAACATTACAAATTCTATTTTATCGATTATTATTGCTAAATAATATTGTAGATCCTGTTATTCAGTACAAATTAACACCAATTTTGATGTCTTTTCTCTATCACACAGCTACACATCCCATTCACCACCATTTTAATTAAGGACACAAACCTTCTATCCAACAAAATTTAAATTGTTAGATTATCATTTATAGTTTATGAGATGTAAGCATGACAAATCTTGCCATTTATTTGGTCACTCCAGTTTTGGTAGACCTCCCTATACCAAACTGAATTTAAACATGTATTTGAAACAAAAAGGAGTGAGAGCAACAGACATATACTGTGGAATTTCCAGATTCCCTGATCTTTTCTGCTAAAAATCTTATTCCCTGACTTTCCAGGTCTGTATGGACCCTGTTTATAACTGATATACAAAAATACACAAAAATTTTGATATTCAGTTTTAATGCAGGCTAGACCATCATTACTTACCTTACTTATACAATGCAAGCTCAAATAGTATTTTAATAAAAGGTTAATTGATTGGCTGTGGTCAAGAATACAAGCAATGTTTTAGTTTTATATGATTTCTGGTTGTGAAGCAATTTGAAATCCTTGATGTATATTGAGACATTACATTGTACTAATATTGCATTTTATACATTGTACATTATACTGAGATGTTACATTATGCTCTGCATATCCACGTCAGACCTTCAGTCTGATTTCAGTGCACTTGTTGAAGCCCAAAACAGACTTGACTTTTCTCACTGAATGAGAAAAATGAACTGAAAGACATTTAAAAGTATTTGTTGCTTTTTGTATTAAGTTAATTAATTTTTTATATTTGCAAAACAACTATTCTGTATTTCAGAGTTATGTGTTGAAAAAATGAAATATTGATACAATTATTGTTTTCCTGTTTATGACTTGTATTTTTAACTTCCACGCTTTTATATCTTTATTGTAATTAAATATCCTTTCTTTTGATTATCAGTAGCATAATCAAAATTCTATAATTTACTGCTCTTTACAATTGGAGAAAATTAATATTGAATATAGTTAAGTTCAGGTTATTGTTAGTTTGACCTCTAACACAGCTCAAGTTTCTCACGTGGCCCTTTGGAAAACATAACTACCCACCTCTAGTCTGGTGCAATTTTAGTCTTAACAATGAAAACATGAATTTATATTTTCAAATAAAGTTCTAATAAAGGAAAGTGTTACTACAATTTTCAGTGTTACATTCACAGAGAGAAAGAGAGTAAAATAATCATCATAGACAAGTCAGTTTATTTCATTTTTATTCAATATATATTTTCTTTTTAGTATTTAATTTTATTGCTTAAAACATTATAGTCAGATTATTGTATTAAACATTTCATATACCAAAAACATAATTCTGAAAATATTAACCAAACTAGAAGAGAAAAATATTGTTTTTAAATGTTATTTTACTTACCAATTGAAACAGGATCAAAAATGACAAATTCTGGTCTTAACATGCTGACACGTTTTCCTTTTAATATAGGTATTAGACCACCGAGGTTTTCCAAAAATAACGTATAAGTGACACTGCCTGAAATGTCATCATCCACATGATGAATCATAGTACAATGTAAACGGTTATTATTTGGTGGTGGTGTGGAGACATATTCTCGCATATGATAAATGTCTGGCAAATGGCACTATAAAATAAAATTATAAGAATTGTTATACTTATTATAATTGATACAATATATAAAATAATACATATGTACTAATGTATTACTTCATTTATCAAATATGCATGTATGAAAAAATTTCCTGGTAGCAAATTGCCAAATGGTGCCAAGTATTTGTATCTGGCAAGAGAAATTTGACAGATGACAAAAGAACAAATTTTTTTATGATAAAAGTTATTATTATTAAGCTACATGAGAGAATATCATAATGAATGTGTTACAGTATCATAAAGTCTGTGTCAGACAGAAACTTTACAGATTTACAGACATCATCATACTGTAAATAAGAATGAAAAACTGTATAATGCAGTAGAGAAAAGTAGTTTTTCGTATCAAATTTTACAGTAATCAGTGATGTGACATGGATATAGTGTTTCATTCCCAACAAGTCAAACATGGAATGAAAATACCCAGATTAGGAAGAGGTTAAAAGTGATATATCTTGCAAGCAAAATGCAGGCTATCATCATCTAGAATTTTATCAGGTATTTCGCTGATAAACTTCCTAGACATAGTGATTGTTGACATACATGTACACTACATTCTTTGTAGCAGTAATATAATTCTACTCCACAATAATGTCTGATGTATCCAATAAGACATATTAGAACAAGCTGGAAAAGTTATGTTGACAAACATGAGATGAATGGATCATCTCTCATTTGCTCTGGATTTCACAACTAATGATCTATCTATTTTCCTCCTTGAAAAAGCACACTTCTTGTAAGCTACCAATAAAATGGATCAAGAGTAACAAGAGTGTAAGTTCTACATATCGGAATAAAGAAACTTATATAAATGGGGCAAATAATTTAACTATAAAAATTTTAACCCAACATTAGAACTGAGGTAAATGGGATAAAATCTCATGCCAACATTTACAGCATTGTCTCTCAAGATATCTAAAGTATTATTGATAGATAGCTACTAGTTAAGTTAATAAATGACATGAGACATTCAACCTATTAATACAAATACTTGCATAATGTGTAAGCAGTGGTGATATTCGAAATATTTAACAAAGGGTTCGCTAACAGAAAATTTTTCCTTAACAAATTTTTTTCGCTCGCATTAGCAACATTAGCACAAAAACTGACCTTAAGATACCCATATAAATAAAAAAATGCGTTCGCAAAATTAAGTCAGTTAAAATTTAACATTGTTTATGCCAGAACTATATTTTTTGATAAATAATAAAAAAAAAAGTTTTCAAACTGGTTTATTTTGTACATATTTTAATATTTTTCATTCAAAATATTTTATAAACATAAAAATTGGTGTTTTGTTTTAATCGGAAAAAGTCATAGAGTTTAACTGCTTTCCCTATGACTTTTTCTCAAGAAAAACTTCTATAAATCATTTGTTTTATCCTTAGGGTATTATCATAATAATAGACAGATGTCATCATTTCTCGAAATACAATATTTTTTTTATTTCGCTGTGGATAGCACGACACGTGTTCCGTAGCCATCTTGTATTTTCTCGCGCGCGTGGGATCTTTCATATGACTGGACCTAGTTTCAAGAACTCTTTTGAGTTGATCGCGACTAAACCTGGTTTCAGTCGAGATTGAAACGGTCGATGGAGATTGCACCAAGGCGAATGGGGTATAAGGCTCTAGTTTAGTAGTGTTACAGAGTATAATACGTATATTTTAATACATTTTTTAAAAGAAACAAAACCATCGGGAAATGTTACATGTGTTTAACAACGGGTTCGGAAAACTTTGAAAATGTTAACAACAGGTTCGGCCGAACCTGTGCGAACCCGCTGAATATCACCACTGTGTGTAAGTGACAACAGAATTTATTAAAAATCTGATTTTTCAGTAATGTTTAATTAATATGCATTCAATGCTGTTATTCTACATCTCTCACACCAATATTTAATTCATAAGAACTGGTTGTAGATGCTAGCTAGTAAAAAGATAGAATAAAAAATGTAGATGCAATATTTCAAATAATTTTTTTTGTCTCAAGGAATCTACAGTTTATAGATTGTTCAAAAAAGCAGTTGAAGATTTATAATCTAAAAATCTTATAAAAATATTTACTGTATATCTGCACAAGTAAGAACATGCTCTTACATGTGAAAATTACTTGTTTTCATTTCTGAAACATGTCCTGCTTCACTTATAAAAGCATACTTTGCATACAAGAGCATCTTTCTCTTATGTGTACCAGCTTGTTTTGGCTTATATGAGCACTGCACTATTGTTTCAACGTAAATTAAATGTAAACATATCTATACAGTGACATCTCTGTGGTAACCATTATTAATAGTAAAAAGACAAATTAAAAAATGCTTCTGTTACTATAAAAGTTTATTTAGGGACTTTGAAGAATATATGTCAATTTTGTTCTATTTATAAGAATATGCTCTTATACTCAAATATAAAAGCATGTCAAATGTTAATAAAATGTAAAATATATAAATTAATGTTTTAATAAACAATTTTGTTTTAACATTAAACACTAATTGTAGTATTTTTACTATAATAATTTAATATATTGTAAATTGAATCAATTTATACCTTAATAGTTCGTCCAAACAAACTAGAAACAAGTGATTGTAAACACTGAACAACAGGAAGTAATTCTACAGAATGCTCATTCATCAGGCACTTCTGGACGGTCATGGCAGAAAGAAGTTGTAAAGAAGCAAGTTTATAAGATATCCAGGCTACATTAACATAGCAACCTGTAGCAATAAAAATTCGTTTGTCCAGATGACCCCAGGTTATAGCAGTAACTGGTTCCTTGAAAACATTTATGTTTTAATATTAACCACTGTTTAAAACTTTTAATATATAAATAACATTTATCACCATTAAATGTAATTTGAATCACAAACATTTTTTTTACAAATTATGCATTTTGAAATTAATTTTCTAAAATACTAAAAACATTTCATTTTAATAAGAATTTTAATCAAATTAATACTATATAAAATAAACATACTATTAATATAAGATAATACTTGTGTGTGGTTTATCATAACATAATCTATCTCAAAAAAATTAGTACAAAGAAGCTACAAAAAATTTAGTGTATTAAGTCAAAAAATAAAATTTTAGTAAATTTATAGAAGTAAAAATCTACAAATATTTATTTTTCATTTATTATAAAAAATAACTGTAAAATTTTTTATCATTATCACTAATGTATCATTAAAATATACTTAATATTTACACAAAATAACAATTTTCATTATTTTTTCAATTAATAATTAGATTAAGACTAATCTCAAGTGTTTAAATTACCTTTATTTTAATTTAATAAAAAACATTTTATCATCACTATTAAAATTTCATAAACTCTATCTCTAGTACTTTCAAACTTTTCTCAGTTCATTTTCAGAGGAGTAAAAGATACTTTAAAGGCTCAGCTTCTCAAAGTTCAATCAAATCTTCAATCCTCAAAATGATTTGAAGCTGATGACTGGTTTTGAATGAATTTTGAGTTTGAAAAGTTAATTTTTAAAGTATTTTTCCTTCATTCCTGATGATAAGCTAAAAAAAAGCTTAAAAGTGCTAATGACAGAATTTGTGAAATATTAATTGCAATATGAAATCCCTAATAAAGCAAAATAAGGGAAAATTTAATAATTAGCATTAAAATAGCTTTTTGTTCTCATTACAGAATTTTAATAAAAATAATATGATTATAATACCATGTTTTAATATGATCACTTATCAATTATCTTTTGCATTTTACTCTTTGCTAATGCTTTTATTATTAATATTTATTCTATTCATATCTAATTTTAATAACTGATTTAAAATAAATAAATAAATTATTATATATATCTTTTAAACTTCATTTTATTTGCAGCTATTTGGAAAATTTAGATTATTTCAACATAAATTAATAATTAAATATGTTGATCTATAACTGTATTAAAAGCAAAATTTTAAAAGTATTTCCAAAATATTTAATAGAGAGGTTGCAGCCAAAGTTTTCATCTTTCAAACGTGAACGCCGAATGTCAAGCGCCGCAATCTTGTAAATGGTGCTTGACATTCGACATTCACGTTTCAGAGATGAAAACTTCGGCCGCAACCTCTCTAATATCAACAAAACTGCATGCTAACTCATTTCCTTTCTGTTTCTGAGATAATGAGTTTCTTTCATCTCATTATTTATAGTCAATTACTCATATATCATTATTTATAATTAACTAACTAGATGTTATGCTATTATTTTCGTCAAGTTTCTCTGCATATAGTTAAATATCAAGTAATAATCTATAAGAAAAAGTTATTCGTCTAAGATACTGTAAAGTAATTAGCATAGTAATTACTTTATTTAATTAAAATAACAAATAACAACATTATGTATTAATTAAGAACTGGAAATGCTTAATTAGTAAATAATGTTATTTATAAATACACTATAAAAAATTTATAGTGCAGGAAATATGGTTTCAGTTTTCACTTTTTTCTGCTATCATTTATTTTAATAAAATGCAAGCATTAAATCATTATATTTTTACATATAATGAATGATTAATCAAATATTATTAAAATTATTTCATCTCATTTCTTAAATTTTGTTTGATTTGTATAAAAATACTTTTAATTTTATTATTAAAATTTAATATTTTTTCTTGTATAATTGTTTTATTCTATATCAGAAACAACAGATATTATTCCACAAACTTTGAACTAGTTGAGAATTAATGTATAAGCAATATTTTCTAAGATATAATTTCAAAATACATCACAGTTTTTTAAATACAGACGTTTGCAAAAGCATTGGAAAATTATAATAAATAATGAGAAACTAAAAACTGCAAGAGAAATTTGAATTCTACTTCAATATTAATTGAATAAAATAATTATACTGTTTAAACTAATGAAATATAATAATAATAACAAAAGCATTACAGAATTATTTTAAAGTTTATACCAGTTTATAGTCTAGTTTAATTAAAATTTAATTTACACAAAATATTAAATTGGATAATAATTTAGCTATCAAATCAGAAATTCAAATCAATTGATTCTAAATAATAATATTTTCTATTGTATAAATGCATAATAAATCATCTCAAATTGTTTATGTAGTGCACTGTAGTTTAATCTGAATTAACTATTGCATGGAGTTAATTTAAACTTTTCATTAATTCAAACAACAAGTATATATAAAGAAAAGTAGTAAAAAAATTCTACAGACAATTACTTATTAGTTTTAAAAATTTATCTATTTTAAATAATATATAATTTAGACTTGTTTTTTGACTGAAACATTTAACAGAAAATCTTTTTCCATGACATTGTAACAACAGGATTGGTTGAGAAGATATCCTGTTTCAAAATTTCATTGAATGCAAATGTTAAAACTACTTAAAATGCTTGTTTCGTGGATCAGTTTTTTTTTTGGGGGCATTAACTTTGTCAGCATTGTCTATTGTAAAACAATGTTCTGCATAATTTCTGAATCTATTAAAATTCAAATTCCTTCTCATCTTTCCCATTTATCTAATGAATAGTTTTCATTCTTTTCAATCTATTGTTTTCATTAAAAATTAAAAGTCATATAAAATGTAACAAATTTAATATGATATTTTTCAAGAAATTGCTACTATTTAATTTATTATACTGAATACATTATTCATATTAATTCATTATAATTAAGCACAATTCAAAATTGTATGTATTTATGGTTAACTGGGAAAAAAATTAATAAAAATAAATAGAAAAATACACACAGTAAGTTTTTTAGAATTATTTTTTATAACGTTAATCATGTTCTACAACTGTACTTTTTTAGAACTTATTTAGAAATTTTTTTGAGGTTTTTGTAGATTTTTAAAAGTTTTATTGAGTATAATTGTTAGATCTAATATAGTGTAAAATTTGTTACAGCAAGACATAAATAAAAATAATTTAGTGCGCTCAAGATAAAAGTGCTGAAGGGATGTATAAATAAAACTGTGTACTCAAATGGTATTGTAATACTAAAATATTTATTGTTATGTTAAATATTTACTTGCAGAAAAAGTTTATGTAAACTTTTGTATTTTATAGTACTGAAGAGGGACCTTTTTTAGAAAAGGACCGAAATGCATCTATAGTAATAGAATAAAGTGAAATCATTGGCTAAAGCTGTGTGATAGTCTACCGCCAATATTAAAATTTACATTTTAAGTGCGGATTTACAAAGACTTTACAATATATAAAAAAAATTAATAAAGATTAAGCAGAATTCAGAATAGCAAGAATGCACTATAGTAATATAGTTTGGGATAATTCTACATGATTTTATACTATTTATCTTTAAATGTAATGATAATTTTATAATAATTTAATTCTATGGATATATTGCAGAGATTTGAAAATAAAATAATTGGCCAAAAACATTTCTCTATGGTTATTGATCAATGTAATTTATAATTGACTTCTATAAAGTTTAATTTTATGATGTTTTATTTTAATACATAATGCTAACAATAAGGTTTAATAATGTATTTTTACCTGATAATATGGTATCTGAATAGAAGATTGCACAGTTCCTGTTTCTGTGTAAAAATATACCCAATTTGAAAAAACTCCATTTATCTCAGATAACACTCCAGCTATCGCTAATAATTCGCCATTATGAGACCAATCCATTTTAATTCCTAAATTTAATAAAAAAAGCATTTGAACTAATTAAATCGAAAAATTTTCATACAAATCATAAAAACACAAAATTAATAATTACAAGAATCAGTATTAATCTAAAATCTTCATTGAAACATTGCTTATTATTTTAATGACATTAAAATATTTTTTTATTCTATTAAATAGTATTGTGATAAATCAAGTAAATGAAAAGAATAATAAATTAAAATGACAGTTTTTATAAATATCTATCAAGAAAAGTGTGATTAAATTCTTTGTTGCCAAAAAATACTTCCTGTAAAAGCAATGATTGTTTGAGAAATGTTTATAGTGAATAAAATAAAGTTTAGCACAGCTACCTTAGGTTTTCAAAACTGCTGAAACCTGAAGAAAATGTATTTGTACAATCTCAAAAACGTTTGAACAGAAGAAAAGCTATTGCAAAAATTATAGAATGTTCTTAATTTCTATTTCTAGTTTGGATTTGAAATTATCAGATTTTCAGTTCCCTTAAAGACTAATATATAGAAATAGTTTTGGAAAATGACAAAATAAAATAACTTTGATTAACTTCAAAACATTTTTTTTTTAAATTACAGAGCTGGTCTTTACACACTAACAAAAAATGTATGAATCTTGGCTTTTAGTTTCATTACTACTGCACTGTACACTTTTAATATTCAATTTTATATGCACTTTTAATACATAAAAAAAAAACAATTTGTTTTGTATTGGCTATATATTATAAAAACAAAATTGCAACTATATAATAATAAATTGTAAAAACATAAAAACTTATTTTTTATTTGAATCTAAATTTTAAAATATACGTTACGTACAACTTTGAAGTATCTATGTATAATAATTCATTAAATTTCATTTGCCTGCCTTATTAAGTTCAAATGTTTCAGTTTGACAAACTGATTTTGATTTAACATGTTTTATCTATCCTAAAATTAAAAAACTTGAAAAATACTATTTCTTAAATTTACATTAAAGAAAGCATATATTTGTAAGAAATTTAATTTTTTTGTACTACTGGTATTATAATTATCAAATCATACGTCTGAATTGTCAATGAGACTGACAATTAAGGTACACGACTGCTCATTAGAAATGATTTTTTAAAAATTCATCTTTCATCAGACAATTATAAATATATAACAATAATTATAATAAATGCTAAGATAATCTCAAAAAATTAATACACAGGATTTTTAATTTAAATAATATCTCCAATATATTTAACATTTGAAGAGCTACCTGGACCTAAGAAAAGTTCAAATAGCAACATGTCTGTGTGATTCTTGACAGAAATGACTACCAAACTGAATGTAAGTGATAAATAAAATAATTCCCACTAACATCATTGTTTTTGAATTTACTAAAAAAGTTGCACATAGATGCAACAATATCCAACAGCATAAGTTCAAGAGTTAAGACTGTTTAGCTCTTATTCATTTGTAGTTCAACTATAATTTGCTAAAATGGACAGGCAACTTCTCAATAGTCCTATGAAAGTCATTATATAGAAAGAAAAAATGATCAGAAATTTATTAGCTTTCAAGATAAAAGTTTAAATTGTAATATAACCAAAGGTTATTAGTACAATATTAAAACTAAAAGAAAAATAACCACGGGAGTTGAAGAACTTACATGAAGATGTAAGTTCTTCAACTCCCGTGGTTATTTTTCAGCACAATATCTAGGGTGAAAGTGAGTCCCTTTTTCTCTTCTACCCCAAGACAAAGACATTCCATCCCCTTTGTTAACCCTGAGTTCTTCATAAATTCTGAGAGGTCCTTTCAAGTAACAGATTTTAGACCACACTTGCTACATGATGTAACCTACTTATATAAATGGAAGTGTCTAATACTATCAATTAAAATATGGATTGATTCATCTGCCATTGTGATTTTTTCAGAAACCACTAAAAATATGTATGCTTCAACTTTAGTACTCTTAAATAAAAGAGTACTACATATCTTTAGTGGTTTCTGGAAAAATCACAATTACATTTGAACATCTATGGAGTATAATGAATATTTTTGTTTTTTTTTTTTTTCTTTTACTTTTAAAGATACTCTTAGTAAGTTTAGATAAAGGAAAAGTTGTTTGGCAACTTTTCCCACGTTGTAGTTCAAACTCGCACTCACTTTCAAATTGACTTTAAAACAAAAAAAAGCTACAGGTTTTTCAAAAAAATTACAGTATTTCCTTTAACATTTTTCTATGGAGTAAAAAATCCATAAAAAATGATTATTAAATATTTAGTTAAAATGTGGAATTAGTATTTTTAAACTGATACTGTCACTTAATTTCACTTAGTACTTTTTCTTAACTGATATACACTCTTAATCTAAAGTTTAAAAAAATATCAATGCTTTGTGAAAAATTTTGTTTGGTTTAACATTTTTATTAACACGACTTACATTTTCTAAAAAATAAAAATCATGNTAACTTTTTCTTATAGATTATTACTTGATATTTAACTATATGCAGAGAAACTTGACGAAAATAATAGCATAACATCTAGTTAGTTAATTATAAATAATGATATATGAGTAATTGACTATAAATAATGAGATGAAAGAAACTCATTATCTCAGAAACAGAAAGGAAATGAGTTAGCATGCAGTTTTGTTGATATTAGAGAGGTTGCGGCCGAAGTTTTCATCTCTGAAACGTGAATGTCGAATGTCAAGCACCATTTACAAGATTGCGGCGCTTGACATTCGGCGTTCACGTTTGAAAGATGAAAACTTTGGCTGCAACCTCTCTATTAAATATTTTGGAAATACTTTTAAAATTTTGCTTTTAATACAGTTATAGATCAACATATTTAATTATTAATTTATGTTGAAATAATCTAAATTTTCCAAATAGCTGCAAATAAAATGAAGTTTAAAAGATATATATAATAATTTATTTATTTATTTTAAATCAGTTATTAAAATTAGATATGAATAGAATAAATATTAATAATAAAAGCATTAGCAAAGAGTAAAATGCAAAAGATAATTGATAAGTGATCATATTAAAACATGGTATTATAATCATATTATTTTTATTAAAATTCTGTAATGAGAACAAAAAGCTATTTTAATGCTAATTATTAAATTTTCCCTTATTTTGCTTTATTAGGGATTTCATATTGCAATTAATATTTCACAAATTCTGTCATTAGCACTTTTAAGCTTTTTTTTAGCTTATCATCAGGAATGAAGGAAAAATACTTTAAAAATTAACTTTTCAAACTCAAAATTCATTCAAAACCAGTCATCAGCTTCAAATCATTTTGAGGATTGAAGATTTGATTGAACTTTGAGAAGCTGAGCCTTTAAAGTATCTTTTACTCCTCTGAAAATGAACTGAGAAAAGTTTGAAAGTACTAGAGATAGAGTTTATGAAATTTTAATAGTGATGATAAAATGTTTTTTATTAAATTAAAATAAAGGTAATTTAAACACTTGAGATTAGTCTTAATCTAATTATTAATTGAAAAAATAATGAAAATTGTTATTTTGTGTAAATATTAAGTATATTTTAATGATACATTAGTGATAATGATAAAAAATTTTACAGTTATTTTTTATAATAAATGAAAAATAAATATTTGTAGATTTTTACTTCTATAAATTTACTAAAATTTTATTTTTTGACTTAATACACTAAATTTTTTGTAGCTTCTTTGTACTAATTTTTTTGAGATAGATTATGTTATGATAAACCACACACAAGTATTATCTTATATTAATAGTATGTTTATTTTATATAGTATTAATTTGATTAAAATTCTTATTAAAATGAAATGTTTTTAGTATTTTAGAAAATTAATTTCAAAATGCATAATTTGTAAAAAAAATGTTTGTGATTCAAATTACATTTAATGGTGATAAATGTTATTTATATATTAAAAGTTTTAAACAGTGGTTAATATTAAAACATAAATGTTTTCAAGGAACCAGTTACTGCTATAACCTGGGGTCATCTGGACAAACGAATTTTTATTGCTACAGGTTGCTATGTTAATGTAGCCTGGATATCTTATAAACTTGCTTCTTTACAACTTCTTTCTGCCATGACCGTCCAGAAGTGCCTGATGAATGAGCATTCTGTAGAATTACTTCCTGTTGTTCAGTGTTTACAATCACTTGTTTCTAGTTTGTTTGGACGAACTATTAAGGTATAAATTGATTCAATTTACAATATATTAAATTATTATAGTAAAAATACTACAATTAGTGTTTAATGTTAAAACAAAATTGTTTATTAAAACATTAATTTATATATTTTACATTTTATTAACATTTGACATGCTTTTATATTTGAGTATAAGAGCATATTCTTATAAATAGAACAAAATTGACATATATTCTTCAAAGTCCCTAAATAAACTTTTATAGTAACAGAAGCATTTTTTAATTTGTCTTTTTACTATTAATAATGGTTACCACAGAGATGTCACTGTATAGATATGTTTACATTTAATTTACGTTGAAACAATAGTGCAGTGCTCATATAAGCCAAAACAAGCTGGTACACATAAGAGAAAGATGCTCTTGTATGCAAAGTATGCTTTTATAAGTGAAGCAGGACATGTTTCAGAAATGAAAACAAGTAATTTTCACATGTAAGAGCATGTTCTTACTTGTGCAGATATACAGTAAATATTTTTATAAGATTTTTAGATTATAAATCTTCAACTGCTTTTTTGAACAATCTATAAACTGTAGATTCCTTGAGACAAAAAAAATTATTTGAAATATTGCATCTACATTTTTTATTCTATCTTTTTACTAGCTAGCATCTACAACCAGTTCTTATGAATTAAATATTGGTGTGAGAGATGTAGAATAACAGCATTGAATGCATATTAATTAAACATTACTGAAAAATCAGATTTTTAATAAATTCTGTTGTCACTTACACACAGTGGTAAGTGACAACAGTAAAACTTTGAAAATGTTAACAACAGGTTCGGCCGAACCTGTTGTTAACATTTTCAAAGTTTTACTGTTGTCACTTACCACTGTGTGTAAGTGACAACAGAATTTATTAAAAATCTGATTTTTCAGTAATGTTTAATTAATATGCATTCAATGCTGTTATTCTACATCTCTCACACCAATATTTAATTCATAAGAACTGGTTGTAGATGCTAGCTAGTAAAAAGATAGAATAAAAAATGTAGATGCAATATTTCAAATAATTTTTTTTGTCTCAAGGAATCTACAGTTTATAGATTGTTCAAAAAAGCAGTTGAAGATTTATAATCTAAAAATCTTATAAAAATATTTACTGTATATCTGCACAAGTAAGAACATGCTCTTACATGTGAAAATTACTTGTTTTCATTTCTGAAACATGTCCTGCTTCACTTATAAAAGCATACTTTGCATACAAGAGCATCTTTCTCTTATGTGTACCAGCTTGTTTTGGCTTATATGAGCACTGCACTATTGTTTCAACGTAAATTAAATGTAAACATATCTATACAGTGACATCTCTGTGGTAACCATTATTAATAGTAAAAAGACAAATTAAAAAATGCTTCTGTTACTATAAAAGTTTATTTAGGGACTTTGAAGAATATATGTCAATTTTGTTCTATTTATAAGAATATGCTCTTATACTCAAATATAAAAGCATGTCAAATGTTAATAAAATGTAAAATATATAAATTAATGTTTTAATAAACAATTTTGTTTTAACATTAAACACTAATTGTAGTATTTTTACTATAATAATTTAATATATTGTAAATTGAATCAATTTATACCTTAATAGTTCGTCCAAACAAACTAGAAACAAGTGATTGTAAACACTGAACAACAGGAAGTAATTCTACAGAATGCTCATTCATCAGGCACTTCTGGACGGTCATGGCAGAAAGAAGTTGTAAAGAAGCAAGTTTATAAGATATCCAGGCTACATTAACATAGCAACCTGTAGCAATAAAAATTCGTTTGTCCAGATGACCCCAGGTTATAGCAGTAACTGGTTCCTTGAAAACATTTATGTTTTAATATTAACCACTGTTTAAAACTTTTAATATATAAATAACATTTATCACCATTAAATGTAATTTGAATCACAAACATTTTTTTTACAAATTATGCATTTTGAAATTAATTTTCTAAAATACTAAAAACATTTCATTTTAATAAGAATTTTAATCAAATTAATACTATATAAAATAAACATACTATTAATATAAGATAATACTTGTGTGTGGTTTATCATAACATAATCTATCTCAAAAAGATTAGTACAAAGAAGCTACAAAAAATTTAGTGTATTAAGTCAAAAAATAAAATTTTAGTAAATTTATAGAAGTAAAAATCTACAAATATTTATTTTTCATTTATTATAAAAAATAACTGTAAAATTTTTTATCATTATCACTAATGTATCATTAAAATATACTTAATATTTACACAAAATAACAATTTTCATTATTTTTTCAATTAATAATTAGATTAAGACTAATCTCAAGTGTTTAAATTACCTTTATTTTAATTTAATAAAAAACATTTTATCATCACTATTAAAATTTCATAAACTCTATCTCTAGTACTTTCAAACTTTTCTCAGTTCATTTTCAGAGGAGTAAAAGATACTTTAAAGGCTCAGCTTCTCAAAGTTCAATCAAATCTTCAATCCTCAAAATGATTTGAAGCTGATGACTGGTTTTGAATGAATTTTGAGTTTGAAAAGTTAATTTTTAAAGTATTTTTCCTTCATTCCTGATGATAAGCTAAAAAAAAGCTTAAAAGTGCTAATGACAGAATTTGTGAAATATTAATTGCAATATGAAATCCCTAATAAAGCAAAATAAGGGAAAATTTAATAATTAGCATTAAAATAGCTTTTTGTTCTCATTACAGAATTTTAATAAAAATAATATGATTATAATACCATGTTTTAATATGATCACTTATCAATTATCTTTTGCATTTTACTCTTTGCTAATGCTTTTATTATTAATATTTATTCTATTCATATCTAATTTTAATAACTGATTTAAAATAAATAAATAAATTATTATATATATCTTTTAAACTTCATTTTATTTGCAGCTATTTGGAAAATTTAGATTATTTCAACATAAATTAATAATTAAATATGTTGATCTATAACTGTATTAAAAGCAAAATTTTAAAAGTATTTCCAAAATATTTAATAGAGAGGTTGCAGCCAAAGTTTTCATCTTTCAAACGTGAACGCCGAATGTCAAGCGCCGCAATCTTGTAAATGGTGCTTGACATTCGACATTCACGTTTCAGAGATGAAAACTTCGGCCGCAACCTCTCTAATATCAACAAAACTGCATGCTAACTCATTTCCTTTCTGTTTCTGAGATAATGAGTTTCTTTCATCTCATTATTTATAGTCAATTACTCATATATCATTATTTATAATTAACTAACTAGATGTTATGCTATTATTTTCGTCAAGTTTCTCTGCATATAGTTAAATATCAAGTAATAATCTATAAGAAAAAGTTATTCGTCTAAGATACTGTAAAGTAATTAGCATAGTAATTACTTTATTTAATTAAAATAACAAATAACAACATTATGTATTAATTAAGAACTGGAAATGCTTAATTAGTAAATAATGTTATTTATAAATACACTATAAAAAATTTATAGTGCAGGAAATATGGTTTCAGTTTTCACTTTTTTCTGCTATCATTTATTTTAATAAAATGCAAGCATTAAATCATTATATTTTTACATATAATGAATGATTAATCAAATATTATTAAAATTATTTCATCTCATTTCTTAAATTTTGTTTGATTTGTATAAAAATACTTTTAATTTTATTATTAAAATTTAATATTTTTTCTTGTATAATTGTTTTATTCTATATCAGAAACAACAGATATTATTCCACAAACTTTGAACTAGTTGAGAATTAATGTATAAGCAATATTTTCTAAGATATAATTTCAAAATACATCACAGTTTTTTAAATACAGACGTTTGCAAAAGCATTGGAAAATTATAATAAATAATGAGAAACTAAAAACTGCAAGAGAAATTTGAATTCTACTTCAATATTAATTGAATAAAATAATTATACTGTTTAAACTAATGAAATATAATAATAATAACAAAAGCATTACAGAATTATTTTAAAGTTTATACCAGTTTATAGTCTAGTTTAATTAAAATTTAATTTACACAAAATATTAAATTGGATAATAATTTAGCTATCAAATCAGAAATTCAAATCAATTGATTCTAAATAATAATATTTTCTATTGTATAAATGCATAATAAATCATCTCAAATTGTTTATGTAGTGCACTGTAGTTTAATCTGAATTAACTATTGCATGGAGTTAATTTAAACTTTTCATTAATTCAAACAACAAGTATATATAAAGAAAAGTAGTAAAAAAATTCTACAGACAATTACTTATTAGTTTTAAAAATTTATCTATTTTAAATAATATATAATTTAGACTTGTTTTTTGACTGAAACATTTAACAGAAAATCTTTTTCCATGACATTGTAACAACAGGATTGGTTGAGAAGATATCCTGTTTCAAAATTTCATTGAATGCAAATGTTAAAACTACTTAAAATGCTTGTTTCGTGGATCAGTTTTTTTTTTGGGGGCATTAACTTTGTCAGCATTGTCTATTGTAAAACAATGTTCTGCATAATTTCTGAATCTATTAAAATTCAAATTCCTTCTCATCTTTCCCATTTATCTAATGAATAGTTTTCATTCTTTTCAATCTATTGTTTTCATTAAAAATTAAAAGTCATATAAAATGTAACAAATTTAATATGATATTTTTCAAGAAATTGCTACTATTTAATTTATTATACTGAATACATTATTCATATTAATTCATTATAATTAAGCACAATTCAAAATTGTATGTATTTATGGTTAACTGGGAAAAAAATTAATAAAAATAAATAGAAAAATACACACAGTAAGTTTTTTAGAATTATTTTTTATAACGTTAATCATGTTCTACAACTGTACTTTTTTAGAACTTATTTAGAAATTTTTTTGAGGTTTTTGTAGATTTTTAAAAGTTTTATTGAGTATAATTGTTAGATCTAATATAGTGTAAAATTTGTTACAGCAAGACATAAATAAAAATAATTTAGTGCGCTCAAGATAAAAGTGCTGAAGGGATGTATAAATAAAACTGTGTACTCAAATGGTATTGTAATACTAAAATATTTATTGTTATGTTAAATATTTACTTGCAGAAAAAGTTTATGTAAACTTTTGTATTTTATAGTACTGAAGAGGGACCTTTTTTAGAAAAGGACCGAAATGCATCTATAGTAATAGAATAAAGTGAAATCATTGGCTAAAGCTGTGTGATAGTCTACCGCCAATATTAAAATTTACATTTTAAGTGCGGATTTACAAAGACTTTACAATATATATATAACAGCAGTCATAAGAAATTTAATTAAAATA